GTCATCGACGTACACGAGGATGTAGAACGGCGGCAACAAATTGTCGGCGTGCAGAAACAGCGACAGGCGACGAGTCAGCAGTGGAAGGTGCAAACCCAAGAGCCGCAAGTGTCGTCCTCAGTGTGTCGTGCCACTCACAAGGCGCCTAACCGAGACCGTGGAGTGGCCGGTGGAGGCTCCACTGGGTACCAGGAGGGAACGACCCAGTGAAGCCAGGAGGGCGGCGCAGTCAGATCTCTTCGTGCAAACTGCCTTGTAGGAAGGCTGTGCTGAAGTCCAGAGAGTGAAGCTCGTAGTCACGCTGAGCGGCAACGTGAAGCAGAACACGAAGAGTGGTCATCCTTGGGGTGGGGGAGAAGGTATAGAAGAACTCAACTCCCTGTTGCTGACTGAAGCCTTGTGCAACCTAACGAGCCTTGAAGACAGGCAGAGAACCCGGCGACTGCTTCACCCTGAAAATCCACATGTCATCGACTACGTTCGCCCCAGGAGGGGGAACTGCGTCGACGTAAGTGCCTATGGACTTCCAAGATGCCATCTCTGCGACCATGGTTGTCTGCCACTAAGAGGAATACTCACCCGCGATCGCCTCAGCGTAAGAGCGCGGGATCGGGATGTCTGGAGCATCCGGGTCTCCCTCAGGGGCAAGCAGCATGGCCACGAGATGAGGCGCAGCGGCTGCAAGACTCTAAAAGTCCTCATTGCTGGTTCTGGCAGACTTTGACATGATTCTTCTGTCAGATTGTGCGGCGCGGGACGAGATCGAAAGAGTGCATCAGATTAGGGCAATCCCACCCAATCTGATTCGATCCCGATCGATTGAGATTGTTTGGCCAGTCCTAACTACATTTCGAGGTGTTTTTCCACTCTTGACTTCACTATACCGGAATCCACTATGGCGAGAAACAGGGCTTATGTTCAGGTGAGTTAGCCACTTGCCCTGGTGCTGCCCCACCGCCATCTGCCCTCTATGATGGTTCAGAATTCGACGGCTCTTGTAACCACGTGACGGAAATCATGAACATTTATTTCGCACGGTCGCACGCACCCTGCGATGCGACCCTTCTCTTCCCCCAAGTACCACCACGTCGGTGGTTTCTTGTCCTCTTCGATTCCTCTCACATGACTGCCCGCCAGCCTGCTTGGATGAAGTGAGTGCTGCTGCCCGACGCCCGTACTCAAACCACCTACACGTATTGTACTCTCTCTATCCCACCACCGCCACCTCTTTCCGCCGCCACTTTCTATGTCGCTCAGACTGTTCTGGCCGTGATCCTACTAAACCCGAGCTTCAAGCATACACAGTGGACATTTCGACGCTTCCTGGCTTCGTGCAATCACTGTACATATAGTGACTGCGCGAGGAGGGAACACTTGTACAGGTTTTTTTTTTTGGGTTGCGAAGCAACCCTTTACGATCGATTTTGCCAAATTTTATTTTCATGTTTATATTTTTTTTTAAAATCATGAAAATAAATTTTGTCAACTACAGCACTACCCTTCCCAAACTGTATGCATGTTGAGCAGTTTTGAATACGGTACTGTTCATAGTGCATTATTCCATATGAATATTTTGCAATTGTTTAGTGGAGATTTGCTGTACTGTTTGCATTATATGTTACTGTTAGATGATGTTGTGTAATGATGAAGAAGTGCATGCGTAATGCATAAATGATGCTATACAATGCATAATGCATAGAATGATGTATATAATGCATGTGATATGTGATGAATGATGCACATGCACATGATAAAATGCGTGACAGTTAACAACCCAAAAACTAAGCTATCGCCATCCCCTGCCTAGCATGGGGGGGAGGTCAATAGCAAAATCTTTGAATAATCAACTAGCACATGAAAAAATGCAATCTGTTAACTCTAAAAAAGAGGTTCACTCTATCAAATCCAGTTCGAAGTGGCAAACACACGAGTCACTGAGTGCGCCAATGAACCAATTAGAAATGATAGAAATGAACCCCCTTTTTAAAATTGACAGACATGCATTGATATTGCAATGACAGATGAGATGAATGCACTCACACGAACAAACACATTCACACAATAAAAAACACGAGCTCCGGCAAACCCAGCCAAAAAACACGAGATACACGCGAACTACATAACAAGTAAATCAATGTTAAAAGGACAATACGATAAATCCTAGTGACCAATACACATTTTCTGGATTGAAATCGCGTTCCTGACCGGAAAGGCCCCTGACAAACGGGTTTAGGAAGTGGAAAGGAGGAACGGAAATGAATAGCCAGTACAACAAAAAAAACAGAAAAAAGGCATAAGGTGTGATGAAATGAAGAGAAACAGGAATAACGAAGAAACAAATGAATCAATACAAGGGCTAAGAAAAACGCCGTGAGCATTGAATGGTTAGACTTGACAAAGAGCATGGAGAAGAATCTAACGAGGCATAAAACGAAAATAAGGAACGGGAATAGAGGAACAAAATACCGAGACAGTAAACGAAAGAAGAGAATATAACGAATACAGAGAGCGAGAACAACGAAGAGCGAGAGCGAGAGCAGGAGCGAGAGAGGACTAGAAAGAGGGGACGAGAGAGAGGGGACGAGAGAGAGGACGAGAGAGAGAGAGAGAGAGAGAGAGAGAGAGAGAGAGAGAGAGAGAGAGAGAGAGAGAGAGAGAGAGAGAGAGAGAGAGAGAGAGAGAGAGAGAGAGAATGAGAGAGAGGGAGAGAACGAGAGAGAAAACGAGAACGAGAGAGAGAGAACGAGAGAACGAGGACGAGAGAGAGAGAACGAGAGAGAGAACGAGCGAGAACGAACGAGAGATAGAGAGAGTGTTCAATAAATTACGATTTCTACGATTTCGAAAAAAAACATGTGTAAAAACAAGATCTAAGCCGACCTAGTTTAGATCTAAGCCGTCCTGTGTTAGAATTAAGTCGACCTAACAAGTATCGAACGCGTTTAAGTTGCAAGTTAGGAGCTTACCTAGCGGAAGTCCCGTAGCCCGTCAGCAGAACGAGAGGAAGAAGGAAAGGGAGGGCTAACTAAGAATAGGAAGTAAATGACGACAATAAGAGCTTACATCTTACCATGAGCTAACAACTCTAAATGACATCTTAAACTTTCTGACCTTGGAGTGGTAGGTGGAGCGTAAGTAGCGTGAGGCAAAAGAACAAGCTCCACTGGTGAGAAGAAAAGAGAAAGAGAAAACGAATACCTAGAACCTAGAACATAGGCTTAATCAAACTATTTTTTTAAAACGCGGCCAACACAAGAGTAAACAACTATGGTACGAGATTAACGCATGCTAGTCTCGCTAGAAATCAGGTAACTTAATTCTACTTGAAACGGTAAGGTAGAGTTGTTCTCACCTTAGTAGGAACGGGTAGGTGGGGCGTGAGTAGCGGGGAGCTAAACCAGCGAGCGGAAGGGAGGGAGAATGAAAGGAAGAGACAACCTAACAAAGTGTCAGATTCGTCGTTATGTCAAATACTCGAAAAAAACGTCATGTTAATATACTGTGCAGTAGCGCTAGTGCAGTCGGTAGGGGAAAAGCGATGGGTATGAAGGAGGTAGGTTCGAATCCTGCTGAAGCTGCTTTTTCGAGTCTTGCTATATATGTCAATTACCACAGGTTTTTATTAAAGTATTCGCACTTGTAGAAAATTGTGTACATGTCGTTATGTAAAATGTAAAAATTTGTGTACATATCGTTATGTAAAATGCTTCGCAACCCTAAGACGATTTCGTCGCCTCTTGTTTTTTTTTTCTGGATTCCGTATCTTGCAGATATGGCGATCGCCTCACAGTGTCTATTCATAGCTCGTGCGTTGGTTGCTCGTCAGTTGTCGTGCCCAACCTCGTCGATTAGTCCAGGCTGTCGTCGTCGCGTCGCAACACTGTTATAATAACTCTTTCCGTCGCGAATGTGTCACTGTTACACGTATGTGTATCGTACGGCCATCCTGCATCGTCTAGGAGATAGAGAGCCTCTGCAACCTTGGCTCGGTCCGAGCCGAGCGACGTCCGGCAGGAGCCGAGCACCGAGAGCATCGTTTCCAGCCCTCGTTCAACACTCGACTGTCACGTCGACTGCGAGCAGTGCTGCTATCTCTACGAACTTTAACTTGAACTTGCCTTGCCAGCCGTCGTACAGCCACGCCACGATGCTGGGCGAATGGAGTGCCTGAACGGGACGGGTTGCGGGTGTGTCACGTTGTCGCAGCTGCGACGACCACCATCCGAATTTTGACGGCTTCAGAAAGTAACTTTCTAGGGCCGAAAACTAACTCGATGAAAAGTTACTGGTTTACTGGCTTTTTCAAGCGACTTGCTCAAGGTCGCAGACTTCGGTTCCCCATACAATCTGGAACCAATCGAGATAACTCGGATTGAGGTTCGGCAAAGCATTTGATTGGTTTGATGCAGGTGTTCGCGCGTCGAGATTTGGCGTCAGAATTTCCCGCCTAGGCTGAAATCGTGTTACATTGACGCGCGTGGGCTTTCCTAATTGGCTGTAAGCCTTCAATAATCTTGATACCTGTATATCTATCTTCAGTACTGTAATTGTATTTCGGATGCCTAGAAACACTGCGCATTTTTTGTGATTGTAGTGAAATCATTTCTATTGATAAGGTGTTTATCACCTCGCACTACAGTGAAAGAAATATATTTTTGAATTCTG